TGTGTGTGTGTGTGTGTGTGTGTGTGTGTGTGTGTGTGTGTGTGTCACAGGGTTTAAATTCAGGGCCTGGCACTTGCTTAGACATCTTGTTTACTCAGCTGGCATTCTACCCTTGAACCACACCTCCAACCCTACTTTTTGCTAGTTGTTTTGGAAATAAGAGTCTAGCAAAGTTTTCTGCATAGACTGACCTTGACCTGTGATCCTCCAGGTCTCAGCCTCTGAGAGCTGAGATTATAGGTGTGAGACACTAGTGCCTAGCAAAACTAGTTTTCATATTTTGACACATATCATGAACATCTACTAACCCATACAAACAAGAACCCATGAAAAAAAAGCCGCAAAAAAATAACCCTGAGCATTTAATTCATAAAACAAATTTTCCTCAGTAACTCTATCCCCAGGAACATGAACTTAGAAAAGTACTCAAGATGCTCTCTTTAATATTCCTTATCATAACTGAAAGCTGGAAGCCACCTAAATATTTAGAGAAAAGGATGCAGTAAGTAAATCATGGCATGTCTAGATAGAAGTATGTAGTTATTTAAAATGATGGTCACAAAAGAGTATTTAATGGCATTGTTTGTTAAGTGGCAAATGTATGGGGGGGGGGGGGAGGTTGCTAATGTCTAAACCCAGTAAGTTTTGTGTGTGTGCCACTGAAGGCTGAGGCACACTACACATGAGCAAGCCTAAAACTACATCACTGTCTTCAAGTGTTTATTAAAATAACCAAGACTGTTTCTTTAATGCCTTTGAAAGCATACTTTCTAAGCTCTTTGCCAACTTAGTACCTCCTCCTAAATGAGCAGCAGGGTTTCACAGTGATTAAAGTTCTTCATCATGTGAGATCATGTGCAGCCTCCTTCCATAACTGCTCTGGGGTGTGCCTCCACCTCACACCACCACTAAATGGAGGTTCAATTAACACTGTTATTAAAATTCAGATTAAAGCTTCTCAACTACAACACAGCAGCACGATTCATGCACTTCTGTCAAAGCTAGGAGATACTTCTGTCAGCCCAAGCAGCTCTGCCATATGTAATGAGCTCAAAGTTCACAATCCACCACGACAGTGAACCTTAAAACTAAGCAAATCTCCCTGACATGTAATAAATGTGAAAAGACTCACAACACTTTAGAAGCTAGTATATATTGTTTTAATATTTTATATTGTTTTCACTTTATGCAATTCATATTTGCACTAAATGCTACTATGTTTTTTAAAGCACATGGAATTTTTCCAGGAAGATTTGCAGACAGGTCGAATAGTGACAGTGCTTGGGGAGGAATTCTGAGGAATTCAACCCTGCTTTGCTTCCCCAGTGACCACAAGGCTGCTGAACTTCACAGCCAAGCCACAAATACTACAGCGCTTAACCACAGTTAACACAGTGGGGGTCCTCTGCTAAGTCCTTCACTTCCCAATTTTTTTTGTTGTTGGTGGTGGTGGTCATGAGGCTTGAATTCAGGGCCTGGATGCTGTCTTTTGCTCAAGGCTAGCAGTCTACCACTTTGGACCATAGTGCCACTTACAGTTTTGTGGTGGTTCATTGGAGATAAGAGTTATACAGACTTTCCTGCCCAGGCTGGCTTGGAACTGGGATCCTCAGATCTCAACCTCTTGAGTAGCTAGGATTATAGGCATGAGCCACCAGCTCCCATCTTTCATTTCCCAATTTTTAAGAACTCTGTAAGACTGGAACTATTACCCAAACCTACAGAAGAGAAAACTGAGATATAAAGAAGATAAACATTTCATGGCTAGTGACAATGATGGCTTGTGTACCATAGTCTGACTTAAAAGTGATACATATTACCTTTCTATATATTATGTACATAATTCTATCTCTTTTAATTGTGAAAAAATAATTCAGTAAACATTTTTAGTTAAAAGTGTAGCCAAGCCAGACATGGTAGCACATGCCTATAATCCCAGCACTTGGGAGGCTAAGCAAGAGGATCTCAAGTTTGAGGCCAGCCTAAGCTACTGAGCGAGAGACCCTGCCCTCAGTCTGCAGGAAACAATTAGGTAATAAATGAAGCCATAGGAGATTTCTGGTCACTTGGTCACTTATAAAGATTACAATAGTATCACTCTCCTAGTCCTTACAAATGAAAACTCCAACACATCCTGAACTTCAGTATTTTATTTAGTAATCAACAGGTTAGAATTTCTCAAAAACACCAGCTGAAACCTATTCACTGGCTTCACTTATGAATTTGAAGGAGCATTCTATACTCACCGAAACCATCAATATCCAGACTATTTTCAATCACAACATCTAGCAAAGAGTCACCAATTTTTCCTTTGGTTGTTAATGTTTCACCGTCACGGTTTATAAAGTGGATTGTTATTTTATCTTCGGAGCTGGAAAAGAAAGCAGTTGCTTAGTGTTTCTAGGAACTTTAAACGATGTGTGTGTGTGTGTGTGTGTGTGTGTGTGTGTTATCCTTCACCCATTGTTTACTTTTACATTTCATTCTGCTGCACACAGAGGAGATTTCAACCAAGCTGAGAGGGGTGTGCTGTCCTACAGGTCTCAGCAGGCTTCTAACGTGGGGAGGGCTGCATCTGCAGACAACCCTGGAGGGGGGAGGGGGGGGGGAGATGAGCCGCTGGACAGACATGGGGTAGGAGTATTTCTCAGTTAGCAGGAGACTCTACTGAGAAGCATGGTAAAACCAGAGCCCACAATCCTAAAGAGGTGGATTGTCAGAAGATCCCATTCAAGATAACCCAGGCAGAAAGTTAGCAAGACCTCATCTCAACAACCAAGAGGGATGTGGTGGCAAATACCTCTAACCCAGCTATGTGGAGTGGATGACATAGGCAAAAAGTCTGTGACCCTATCTGAAAAATAACTAAAGCAAAAAAAAGGGGGGGGGGTGCGCTTAGGGGTGTGGCTCAAGTAGTAAAACACTAATCTAGCAAATCAAGGCCTGGGGTCAAACCACAGCATAGCCTAAATTTTTTTAAAGTAGAAGAAAAACAAGACAAAAGGACTTGCAGACAAGGCTGAAGAAGTGCAACTCCTTGTATTGAACTGAGTGAACTCACCATTATCACCAAATATATATATATATATATATACACACACACATATACATTTATGTGTATATACATGTACATGTACGTGTACATATGCATACCTACGCATATATTTGTATATGTATATATGGACATGCATACTTATACCGGAATTCGGGGACCCCCAGAAGACCACCAGAGACCACAATCAATGTAAGTAACAAAGAGCCGGTTTATTGCAAGCTTGAGCTTGGTCCTCTGTGCACATGGTAACCGGTGATGGTGGCACTAAGAGGCCCTGAGCACAGTTTTTATAGGAACTTTAAGGAACGTTTACATAAGAAATTACATTGGTTAACATTTATATTTAAAGCAAGCTAAGCTGGGCAAATAATGATTGGTTGACCTTTACAGAAAAATGTCCTTGGTCCATAGTTTGACTGAAAAATAGTTACGAGTCAAACCCGGACCAACAGAATGCATGGCATATCTCGCCCTGGGCTCTGAAGTACGGGTTGGTCAGAAACTCTTAGTCCTAGGTGGCTGGGGGGGGGGG